AAATGTCTTAAATGCTTTAACTTTTTATCATCTAACTTCTATATTCTGTACTTTATAAATTTTCATTATTACTAATTAACATGCTAAAAAAAAAAAGGAGGGAAATGGTCTTGCCTTTTCATTTACCAAAGCATGAACTAATTTTTTTAATATTAATAATTAACATATTATTCATCAAATTTCTTAAATGCTTTAACTTTTTATCATCTAACTTCTATATTCTGTACTTTATAAATTTTCATTATTACTAATTAACATGCTAAAAAAAAAAGGAGGGAAATGGTCTTGCCTTTTCATTTACCAAAGCATGAACTAATTTTTTTAATATTAATAATTAACATATTATTCATCAAATTATCTTTCAGTTAAAAAATTAATTAGTCTTAATTTATTATTTGTATTATATAAGTATTATATAATAAATAATAAATATATATTACACAATATTTAATATATATAAATGCATATCCTATTTAATGCATAGGGTAGTATTATATATATATATATAGATTTAAACTTACTACATTATTTAATTGTAAAGTGAAGTAAAGGGCTTGAACTCAATAAAAAAAAAGGTAGAGCATAAAAAAAGAGTCAGCCCTTAAAACTAAAAGGGTATGATTGTCAAATCTCAAATAAGTATAAACAGAAGACCTAGTCCCAGAAATAAAACCACTCTGAACTCGACTTAAGTTAGTTTGATGCCACTCTTCTTTTTAGTTCTTTAAAAATCTTCACCACGTGTTTTATTTTCTTTCACCTAGGGCCTAGACAGTTGAGCTCATCGTTTTACTAAAATTTTAGGCCTATGGCTAGAGCCTGTGCCCAACCATGGGCCAACATAGTTTTGCCACTGCTCTTAAATATTTCTTTGTATTTATCTAATCTGATAGGTCATTTTGACATTTTCAAAACACAGCGCAACAAAACAATAAAATGTGTGAATGGAAAATATATGTACTGTGGAATGGCATGCAATTTAATGTCTTTAATGTGTTGATACTAATTAGGTAAGAACTAGTATATATAATGACTATTTGATTGAAGTGTTCCTTCTAGTCTTGTATTATAATATTGTTATTTACTTGCTTCTTGCCATTCACATTTGCTTCTATAGGGTTGCTGATGATAGGGCCAGATCTACATTGAAGAGGAGTTAGGCATGGGCTCTACTCTCGGCTTATAAACGGGTCTCTTTAAAGGAGTTAATGTTTGAACACAAGGAGTATGGTATCTGTAAAGAAGAATTAGACTCTATGTATTCAGTGTATTGGTCTACATGTGGAGCAGGTCAGGATGATATTTATATAACTGCTGCATTCCGTTCATTTGCAAAGAATGAAGCCTAACATATTCATGCGGAAACTGTGTCTACGTATGAACTATGCAAAAGATCGCATTGTAAGACAGGCTCTTTTTGTTCGCAATTGGTTTCCGGAGCTGGGTTGCACCAAATTTAGTGGACGTGGAATAGACTGTGCTTTTGCTTGTCATCGTGGCAACAAAGCATTCATCACGCGCATAGACTATAATCGCAAGGTGATGGATTAAAAATTTAAAATATATGCCATGTTCCTTAAAAGTCGAGGGTTCTGCTTTCGAAAGCGGTGAGGACGCTGCTTTTGAAGCTGAAGATGACAAGCTTATTTCTTCAAAGGCAACCAGTATGCTCATATACATTACAAAGCAGAGGAAGAGCAGCTTCACCTTTGTTACCATCACCGACAAATTTCTTGACTTTTGTAAGGTATACCAAATTTGAAGATGGAATAGGAGCAGTGTTTGCTTCCCACAAGAAAGGTCAGGCTTGCCTTGTCCAAGAAGATTACTACGCACTCATTGACTTTGTGAACAACGGCATTATTGAAATAGTGGATAAAATTGAAAACAAGTGGTCCAGGTTTGGAAGTATGGTGCCCCGCAAGAACGATGTCTGCGACTGCTCTTTTAAAGGTAGCTAGAGTCGGCTCTACACTTTGACAATTTGTTCTTTCTACACTTTGTTTCTGGTTTATGTTTCTTATCTTAGAATTAAGATGTCTGCAGCACTTTGACAGTTTTTTTCTTTCTACGCTTTGTTTCTGGTTTATGTTTCATGTCTTTGCAATAAGATGTCTGCACTTCCACTTTGTTGTTTTCTTTAGGGTCCAGGGCATGTTTGGAGACCGAGACACATGTCATCATTCAAACCATTCAACGTAATATCTCATGCACCGGTGTGCTGCCGGAAGTAACGAAATTATTCGCCTTGTTGCGGCAAATTCAGGCAAGCTGACGGGGCAAATCACTTGCTTCTCAAGTTCCCGAGTCTCAACACGTGTCTCGAAACACGTTCCATTTCCGTTTCTATAATTAACTAATTAATTAAATAATATATTATTGTATTTTATAGCCAATTACATGTTGAAAGAATTTTTTTTAAATAAAATTTTAAATTTAAATTTTATAAATGAATAAACAGATATTAGAATAACTTTTCTTTTCATGAGATCTAATTTAATTTGATTATAAATTAATTAAAATTTAATGTAATTTTTAGATATGAAAAGTTTAATAATAAAAATATCTTATTTTATAGTTTGACTTTGAATTGTATAATAAAAAAATTTGATTTGAGGATAACTTTTAATTACTTGTTTCACCTTTAATAACTTATGCTATATGTTTGAAAGGAAAGGACATTTTTATAATTAAGAATTAAAATTTTTATTTTAACATAGATAGGGTGAAAATTGAAAAAGAAAAAACTATTTCATATTTTATAACACATCATCTCATACATATAAAAAAAAAAACTCATTTTGTTTATTTCTAGTAGTTTTGTTTTGAATTTTTAATTTTTTAAATATAAATTTTAAAAAATAATTAATAAAAACTATATTTTAAATTTATGTTTAAAAAATTAAATTAAAATTATTAAAAATAAATAAAAAATAATATTTTAAATTATATTATATAATATGATTCAGTACGGATTGTATAATATTTTTTTGTTAATTTATTATTAATTGTAATATTTTGTCAGTTGGTGAGTGAGTCACCGGCCACGCAGCACCGGCCAATGGAGGGCAGTGGTCCAATCGGAAGCCAGATTTAGATCACGACGAGATCAGGATGACACGACGTTAGGCTTGGTGGATTCCGCATGTGTGCATACGTGGGAGGACAGAACAAGTTGGACGGCAAATCGGTGTGGAAGAAATGATTTTTGTGTTGGAATTTTTTGGCGCGGAGGTGTTACCCATGTGCTGTGTTATGGACTACGTCACATTCAATCAAATATGGGAGATTAATGCTGCAAAAGTGGAGATTTGGTTTTTGACTTCGCAAACGGGTCACTTATATGTGCTCAATTGTTATATTCAGTTTTAGGTTTATTGGATTAAAAAATATATATATTTATAACATACTCACACACCTTACTCCTAATTTAAATTGAGTGGACTTGATTTTTGATATTTGAATATAATTAAAATTTTTTAATATTTTGTTTGTTTTTCTTTAAAATTGTAATATTAATTTATTATTTAATTTAAAATTTTTATTTAAACTAATCTTCAATTTGATAATCTAACAAATAATTATTATTTTAAATTTTAAATTTTATTTTCTATTGAAAAATTAAAACAAAATTATACTTAATTAATATTTTAAAATTTTTTAAAAATAATTTTAATCAAATTATTTTGAGTTAATTCAATCTAATCTTGATCCAATTCAAATGAATTTAAACAATTTCAATTTAAATTATATCAAATTTTGAGTTCATATCTTAAATTCAAAACTTTATCCTATAATAAATAGGTTGAGTTAAATTTTCAGTTAAATCTAATTTTTTCATGTGTATTTGATATCTCGGTTTTAATCCAGGGTTGGAAGGATGATTATGATGTGCGTATCTTGACAGGAATTCTTGTTGGTTGACACGAAATATATGAGTGCCATATAATGAAATACTGAAGCTTGAATTCTTGACCTAGGGTCAACAGCATAGGTTAATTTTGATGTTAGGTTGTTATTCATGTCAATAAAAAATTAACAAAAATTATAGTATTAATAATTTAAATACTTTAATAATAAATTTTTTACTAAAAGTAAACAAATTTTAATTTTAAATCAAATCACATACAAATAAAATAAATAAAAAAATTATTATATAATTTAAAATTAAAAAAAATAATTCTTATTAAATAGTTTCATTTGATAAATATTTTTTAATTATGTGTTCTGTTATATAACATTAATGCTGCCTTAAATTATGTACAAAACTTCAAATGACATGTAAAATGGAAAAAAATATTTTTAAGGTGGTGAAGTCTTAAAAGGTTTACAAAAGTCGATCCTCACTTAGATGGGTTCAAACTCTAACATATTCTATTGAAACTTATTTTATAATTTAATATAATTTAGGACCTGTTTGGTGTGATTTATGAGAACTTTAACTTTTTGAGTACTGTTATGAGTGATAAATTTAAATTTTTATTGGAGGAAAAATAGAGTTTTAGCTTTTAGGAAGGTGAAAAAGAGAGTGAAAAGTAAGTAAAAAGAGAGTTTATGAAAAGTTTAGATTTGAAGCTTTTGAATTTTTACTGTTTAAGAACTTTTTAAGGTTAAAAAAATATTTAAAAGTATAAATTTTTAAGAGAAAAATTTAAATTTATGAGACATAAATAGTGTCCAAAAGCTGAAACTCTCAGGAGCTGCACCAAACATGCCCTTAAATTTCAAAACAAAAATCTCATATTTTTATTACGGTCGCCATTGCCCAGCCCTGCCACAGCTTTTGAGCTATTGTACCCGCGGCATAGTATTTGGAGACGTGGCACAGGCACCAATGTTAATGGTAGAAAGGTTCCCATTGTCAGTTTTGTTGGAAGAAGCTCCCAATTTGCCATATGGAACCGACCGACTAGTGACTACCGAGGTTTTTCTTCTTTTTTTTTCTCATCTGAAATTTAGTAGGTCATCAAATTTTTTTTCCCAACATCGCATGTAGGCTATTTTGCCTATGGTGGGGAGCAAAGGAAGAAAGCGCTATATTGCC